CAACCTTTACGTCCAAATCATCTTAAGCCTAGCCCATCTCTTAGGTCTAACCAAAATTAGACCTAACCCAACCCCTTAGGTCTACTCAACATTAGACCTAACCCAAACTCTAGGTCTAGTCAATATGAAACCTAATCCTAAACACTAGGCTTAACCTAATTTAAACATGGTACAACCCTTTTAGGTTTAACCTACATTAGACCTAAACCCAAAACTTCTTGGTTCTAACTCATATTAGACCCAAACATCAACTATCTTCTTAGGTCTAACCCATAATAGATCTAACCCTAGGCCTAACCTAATTTAGACCTACCCCAAGACCTTAAGGTCTAATCCAAACTAGATCTAACTCTAACCTTTAAGTCTAACTTGACCAAATTTCAACTCAAACTCTCTTTAGGTCTAGCCTAAGCTAGATTTAGCTTAAGTCTATCCAAACTTAAACTTAATTCAACATGAACTTCTCTTAGATCTCAATAATCTGGATTTAACCTAAGTCCAAACTAACTTGGACTTAGCCATATTTAAGTTATCTTGGGTCTAAACTACGGCTCAATTCAACTAAATCATCGGTTCAACCTGACCTAACTCGGGTTAACCCTATTCAATTGAATCACCGGGTCAACCCCGACCTAACTCGGGTTAACCCTATCGAATGAACCACCAGGTCAACCTGACCTAACTCGAGTTAACCCTACTCAACTGAACCACCAGACCTAACTTGGTTAACCCAATTCAATTAAACCATCAAATCAACCCGACCTAACCTAGGTTAACATAATTCAACTGAACCATCGGATCAACCCGAGCTAACATGGGTTAACCAATTCCAACCGAACAATCGAATCGACCCAAATTTCAACTCAAACTCTCTTTAGGTCTAGCCTAAGCTAGATCTAGCTTAAAGTCTATCCAAACTTAAACTTAATTCAGCATGAACTTCTCTTAAATCTCAATCATCTAGATTTAACCTAAGTCCAAACTAACTTGGACTTAGCCATATTTAAGTTCTCTTGAGTCTAACCTTACTACGACTCAATTCAACTAAACCACCAGGTCAACCCGACCTAACTCAGGTTAACCCTATTCAATTGAATCACCGGGTCAACCTCAGCCTAACTCGGGTTAACCCTATCGAATGAACCACCGGGTCAACCTGATCTAACTCGAATTAACCCTACTCAACTGAACCACCAGACCTAACTTGGGTTAACCCAATTCAATTAAACCATCAGATCAACCCGACCTAACCTAGGTTAACACAATTCAACTGAACCATCGGATCAACCCGAGCTAGCATGGGTTAACCCAGTCCAACCGAACCATCGAATCAAGCCAATTTTACTTAGGTTAACTCAATTAAACAATTAGACTATCCCAACCTAACTCGGGCTAACCTAAAATCAACTCAACCCTCTGGGATAACCTGACCTAACTCAGACTAATCCAAAGACAACTTTTCTTCGAGATAATCAGAATAAATTCTGATCAACCCAACTTGAGACTCAACTTCTTGCTTGACTTAATTCTCAACCTTAGTTCAATCAAGGATCGATTTGAGTTTGACGTAACTTAAACTTAAAAAAATAACTCGTCTAAATTAACTTGGACCTTACCCAAGTTTAATTCAACTTAAATTTGATTCAGCTTAGGGCGTTTAACATGGATCAGCCCGACTCAACATGTTTGCTTTTAAGTTAATCCAACTTGGTTTAACTTGGCTTACTTTATGTCAAACTAAACTAGTTAAGACTAGTTCGATCCAAATCAAACTAAGTCCACCTAGGCCAAACCTATTAAACTTTGGTCGATTAAACAAGCTTGAAGATAATTCGAGGGACAATCAACCTAACTTAGGTTAACTCGGATTACCCAGAGACTCATCTTAGATCATTTCAACCCAAATTGAACTAATCTAAAATCAACCTAAACTTAGGTGACTGGAGGTTAAGCAGGGCTTGACTTCTCATATGAGAACAAAAGTACAATTAGCATCAGTTGGGGATAATTTGGGCTAAAGTATCAAACCAGTCTAAATGAAATGACATAAACTTTACCCTAAAAGACATTAAAACTTAAACTTATACAAAAAAAAAGCAACATGATTTGAGAAGGTATTTTGGAGGAGGTGAACTATGACTGCTAACAGAATATCTTCCGGTCACTAGTGACAAATCAAACCGCAAACCTCAATGACCCCGAGAAGTCGAAACCATGAGATCTTGACAAGGTCATCCCAAATAACAAAATTAAAACACAAAATAACAAAATAAAAAAAAATAATCAGCTAATAAGTATTAAGTAACCTAAAATTTTCAACCTCTAAAATCCAAAAAAGACATTAAAATTTTTAAAAAAAACCCTAATGAACAAAGATCATTGAACTCAACTTGAACCCCAGATACTCAGATCTATGAAGGTCTCTTGGACGACACAACTTATGATTGCTGATAGGAATCTTTCGGTCTGAGCAGGTTTGAGCATCTCTCCAACTAAGTAGATCAAGAAACTTGACAACCCTGAGATGATGGAAAGGTAGATCAATTGGGAGTTTTCTTAAGTAGTTTTGACTACTTAAGATGTAATTAGCTATTGGGACTTGTCCTTATAGGAGCATGCGAACTCTAAATGTAGTACATCATCCTAAATTCTCTGGTTGTTAGCATTCAAAATGTCTCCTTCGCAGTTATGTCTTTAAAGCATACCGAATTGATCTCACTTTAGACTTATGCTTTGGAGATATTATGATGATTTACGTTGTGCTTTTAGAATTTTAAATATTATTAAAGGCCCACTAGTTATTACAAAGGATGAACCATGGAATGGTTTATATTCACTATTACAAAACCTAATGAATATATCAAATGATGCCTAACATGAATGTAAGATGGCTAACATAAGACTTTTGCACCCTTGGATGGTTCATATTAGTCAATGGTGTTGGATGCATGACATAACTAAAAGTGTCTTTGGAAAGGACAACATAAACAAGATTGATTATTATGGCAATTAAATCTTTGGAAACTTCACTATGACATAAATTGGTGTAAGACAATATAATACAAAAAACGGTTCTCAAATACATATATTTTGATTCTTAGGAACTCGCTACTATTCTAATTAATGATGGAGATAGATATTGATTTCTTTAATTGATGATTTCTCACACAAAAATATATATCATGCTAAATCATAAAAATGAGTTTTTTAAGACATTTAAGAAATCAAAAGCTTTAACTAGAAAAATTAAATTGATAAGAAAATCGAGAGGTTGATAATAAATCATGGGTAAGAATGTCTGGATTGTATGTTTATTGAATATTATAAAGAAAGTGGGATTGCTTGACATAAGATAATTATATCAACTCTATAATAGAATAATATTGCAAGAGAAATAAACATAGCTTCGTAAGAAAAAGTGAGACACATGCGTTTACTTTTAAAAATAGATGGGAACATTTTGAAATGAAGCAATAAATACTTCTTGCCATTTTGTCAATAAAAATCCATTAACATCTCTTGATCTAAGAAACATCAATGTTTGGAAAAGGAAAAAGATCGACTATAGTAACCTACAAATTTGTTGTATTGTTGACTTGTGTTCCCACAAATCAGAATAAGCTAAAGCCAATATCTTTGGAGAAAATCAAAGGCTGTGTCGATTTTGGCCAAGAGATGAAAAATTAGCTTAATATATTACTATCAAAGGTGTCATCTTTAATGAGCAAAAAATAAAAATTAAACATACTATAAAAAGATATTAAAGCACTACAATCAGTATTGAAGATGAAATGAATGACTAGAGGGGTGGAGATACAAAGTGGATGTATTTAGATGAAGCAAATACCTAAATAGGATAGCCATCATGCTCATTAGAAAGAAGCTGCTATCTATGATGATCAAATTGATATTAGAATATGTAGTCTAGCAAGATATCAAACAAATAAATAAATAAATGAAGTTTTGTTGATTTAACATTGCTACCACTAAATATCAGCTAACAGATGAACCATGAGCATATAACAAAGGAATGGATAGTAGTGGTAAAGATTTTTGATAGCAAGCTATGATAAATTAGAATTATGAGAAATTATGAGAAATTAATTATACTTAAAAATTGATAAATAAAGCACAAAGTAAAAGACGTGTACTGTAAGTGAATGTTGAAAATAAAAGATGGAATTCAAAGATGCTACGCAAGGGTAGATTCAAAGTCAGATTAATGGCCAAAAGACTCACTTGGAAGATGAATGGATTTTGACAAGACTTTTTCATTGGTTGTTAAACAAAATTCAATTAGAGTAATTTTATCTACAATAGTTTAGCAAAAACTAAAATTATAATAGATAATGTAAATTTAACCTTTTTGCATTGTGATTATAAGGAGTTTATCTATACGAGTCAATCAAGCGGATATGTCAGATCTGAATAAAAAAAATATATAAAGTTTACTTTCTCAAAAAAGCTTTATATGGGCTTAAGTAGTTTTCATGGCAATGAAAGAGGAAATTTGATAAGTTTATAATTGCAAAGCCATCCAGTATGAGCAGCTTTGATATGTGTATCAGCATCAAGAGGTACTTTGCAAAGAAAAGTAATCTATTTGCTTTGATATGTTGATGATATGCTCATAATTACAGAAAAGTGGATATATTTAAATGAAAAGGACATCACTAAACAAAAACTTCAAGTTGAAGTATTTGCCATCATAAGGGATGAGGGAAAGGACTATACACTTATCACGATGCAAATATGTTTGCAAGTTGCTATGAAATTTTGGAATTGATACTGCTAAATTTACTTCATTTGCTTTGAATTTATAGTTCAGACATTCAATTATGCAATCAATATTAACTAAGATCAAAGAAATGTGACTAATTAAAATGCTAGAGAAGTCGATAATGTAGCATTTATTAAATACCTATTTCAATTTAGAATTAATAATCACTCCCAAATATGAGTTAGTCAAGTCAGCTATGCACAGAGTCCACATAGCTACCTATTGTCCAAGTTAACCATGATAAGAATATACAAATGACGCATGGTAGCTACAAAATTTATGACCAATCTAACCTGACCATGCCATTAACTCTTGTACCACTTGTTAGAGAATATGAATTAAGAAAAACTAAACCCAGCCATAATATTGCAGTAGTCAAATCCAATGTCAACCTAAGAGCTTATGCGGCCAACTATACCAATATAATCAAATTACAGTTGGAAACTCAATGAATTTTAAAATTTGCTCCAATTTTTGGAGAAAATTGCATTTTTAGTATCAACAATACAGCCCTGCTTGACTAAGAACAGAAAAAAACGTGTGTGTGTGTGTGTGTGTGTGTGTGTGTGTGTGTGTGTTTTGTGTTACCAGTTGATGCACTAATGCCAAGGGCATTCTAACGGCATTCTGACATCATTACAGAATTTTCACCACAAGGGTGACTGGATGAAGGAACATGTGACGAATTAACTTACAAGAAATGACATTGAAGGTCAGTTGTGGTCAGCTAAATCTTCGTCAGCAGCAAGTTTTCTAAGTCAAATTTTTATGAGGTCAAGTTTCAGTAGAACTCCGTCTGGTTTGCAGATAAAAGTACAAAAGCTCATTCCAAGTATCAGGAACCCCTGGAAGGCACCAGTGGCTGCAATCCTGGACATTTGAGGACGGCCAACTTCCAGGCCTTCTTCCATAAATTGATGGATGACCATCTATCCTAAGCCCAGAGAGGCTTGTTACGTTTAGCACAGTCACGGGAGTTCTCATTTGTTTTATGACTTGATCTACTATTAAGTTCATTTCAGGAGTGCTTGGTAAGATGCTATAATTTAGGGGCTTTGTGTTCTCTTTGCAGTGCCCTCCAGAACTCCACTCCCCACCACTGAAAGCAACAGAAAGGCACAAAGGAGAAGATTCTTAATTATTTTCAAATGATTTTTTTTTAAGAAATACAAAAAAAAAAAATAGTGACCTGAAATGTTTAGGAGCTGAACTCCGGAAGAAAACTTGGGTCTTGTTTCCACTGATATTCCGATCAATCCATGAAGCCCAAGTTGTTAAAGCTTTTCTGAAAGCAGTGGAAACGTCAAGGTGGGCATGGACTTTACCGCCTTCTTGGTAGTAGTTTACTCTGTTGAGGAGCCCAAGCATGTGTCAGAAGCTGGTAGAATCCTTGGACTAGTTTTTTTATCATAGGTGTTAAGGAACGGTATTAGATGCTTTGATGAAGATTAAAGTTGAAAGAGCATGTGAAATAAAAGCGGGCCAACACACGTACAGACAAAAAGAAAATCACATTTTCGCACAAACAATGCAACATCTACATAAAAAACTCAGAGCCAAATCCAATAGTTTTGAGACAGATCTTTTAGTCTATATATTTTATGGCTATATAACATTTTTGTCCTTCTTTCAAAACAGAGCATGTCAGTCTCTGCACTACCAGCACCTGAGAGCTAAATCGTCCGTTGCAGTGTTGTTACCTTATTTCCAAAAGGTTTGTGGTTTGGCCAATGTCGATCTTGTACAAGATTTTACATTTTAGTGTTTTCTGATTAATGTCTGTAAGCACCCAAAAGTAATGGCGACCATGTCATAAAGCGTTGAGTAATCTATTATTTAGAATATTGGGTAATTAAATATGAGTACAAGATTCATTATATTTTTTTGGCTTTCAATAGCCGTTATTATTTATTAATTACCTTCATTCTCAATTACGTAGTTTTCTTTTTATCGTTATTTTGATTTTATTTCTTTGATTGTATTTTTATTTCTTTCTGTATCTGAGTCCATTGTAAGGGTTTAAATATCCTTCTTTGTATCAACAAGAATCATGTTGCTCTAGTCACAAATTCAACATTGTATCAAATCCACGGCTCTTACCCTAAAGGTTCTATCCTAGCCAGCCGACAGCCACCTTCCAGCATCTGCCTAGTCTGCTATTTTTTCGTTAAGTCGTATGGTTCCAGCATTTGATCGGTAAATTCCTTCAGCCAGTCGCTCCTTTAGTCGTTGTTCTCCAACTCCAGCCGTTGTTGCTTCTGCCACATTGGTGCTGCTGCTTCAGCCACTAATTCCTTCTGTCGTACGTTTTCCCGTATGACTCCATCAAACGTTGTTCCTTCAACCGTTGTTCTCCAACAGGTACAATTCCTCTTGTCCCGCTGCTTACCGCTAATTCCTTCTGCCCCACTGCTTCCAACTAATACAATTCCTTGAACCGCAGCTTCCAACCGTTAATTCTAACTGTTGATCCAAAGAGACTTTCCAATCGGCCCATGTCTCACTGGTGCCACTGATCCTCCCTGCAGATTCCAACAACCACAAGATCCTCAATTCCAGTGGTGCATCGGAGCCACCAGTTTTGCAAGGAGTCCGGAAGTTGTCCAGCGCCAGTCTTTCTGGCAGAGATTTTATTTCTTGCAATTGTATCCATTTATCATGTTCTTACCGGAAGTCATTGATGGCTCAGAACCACAGATCTACCACACTTGGGATAATTATTGGAATCTTTACAGTGATTCATCATACAAACATTCGCTAAAATCCTCTTTAAACCAAAGGTCTCAAGGCGAGGACCAAGCTCATCACGGATCAACCGATTCCTACCCGGAACATTCTGGAATCCTCTAAATCCCTGAAAAACGAGATGGAGCAATTTCTCAAGCTTCCTGAAGCCCATCAAGTCTCTACAGGTCCGTTGACCTCCCACGTCTGATAAGGTACACTTCTTATGGCTTTCATAACTTATTCTGTCTCTAGCATGGATTATTGATTCAAGTGCCACAGATCACATAAGCGCACAAGTTTTCTCAACTTGCTATCCATGCTCTGGAAAGGATACCATCAAAATTGTCGATGGCTCCTGTAGTTCCATTGCTGGCAAATGGTCGGTTTTACTAACAACGGATCTAACTCTGAAGTCAATTTTACATGTTCTCTGTTGCAATGTACTTTATTATCTGTCAGCAAGATGATGAATGATATTGATTGTGTTGCTAATTACTCTTCTGATAGTTGTGTCTTTTAGGATCATCGTTTGAGGAAGAGGATTGAAATTGCTAAGAGGGTAGTCGGACTCTATTACTTCCAAGAGAAATAGCATGGAGAGTAAGGACACAATTCTCAGGAGTTGTAGCATTGCATTGTTGTTTAGGTCATCCTATTTTCCCATATTTAAAAAAATTATATGCTTAAGATGTTTTCTAATAAAAATCTTTCTCATTTCAATTGTGAGACATGTTAGTCAAATACTATCGGACCCATTACCCACCCCACACTTACCTTAAGTTCTATTCTCTCATTCATAGTGACCTATGGGGACCCTCTTGCACTCCCAGCTACACCAATAAAGATAGTTCTTGATTTTAATTGATGACCACACTCGAATGACATGGCTCTACCTTTTAAAAGACAAATCTGAGATTGTTGTCACCTTCCAAAATTTCAACACATTTATTTTAACCCAATTCAAAACTCTTATGTAGGTCTTTAGAACCGACAATGGCCGTGAGTTTTTCAACTCAGTTTTGCATTAATTCTTGGTAAGGGTATCATCCACCATAGCTCGTGTACTGACACTCAACAAAATAGGGTAGCTAGAGAAAAAACCATCACATTCTTGATGTCGCTCGCTCAATTATGTTTCCATCCAATGTCCCGAAACGGTTATGGAACAATTTCATTCTCACTGTCACGTATCTTACAAATACAGTCCCCTCTAAAATTTATAAGTTTGGACCCCCTAGCTGTCCTAATGTCATGCTTCCTGGTGCACTGCTTTTCTTCGGAACACTACCCCAAATTAGAATAAACTTGATCGCAGGTCCATAAAATGTATCTTCCTTGGATACTCCGCCACTCAAAAAGGGTATGAGTTTCTTGATGCTTCCACCAACAAAATCTATGTGAATGTTGATGTCTCCTTGGAAAGTGTTCTATATTTTCCTAGCTCGACCCCAAGTGAGGCGGAGCTTGAGTTCTTAGACACTGAAGCCCCCTGTTCGGGTAAGTGCCCCATCCATTGAGTCCCCTAATTCGGTAAGTAAACCATCCCCTCTTCCCACTATCCCTGTCTACACTCGGCGCACCTGTTTCTAAGGCTCCTACTCTGGAACCTGTCACCCCCTTACATCCATTGAGTCCCCTAATTCGGTAAGTAAACCATCCCCTCTTCCCACTATCCGTGTCTACACTCGGCGCACCCGTTCTAAGGCTCCTACTTTGGAACCTGCCACCCCCTTACAGGACCTTGACTCCACTCCAAGCGACATCCTCAGCACAACCCCTCCTCCGAATGAGAACATGAGTTCTCCGAACAAAGTATGCGATTAGACATGCTCTGTCTATCCTATGACAAAATATGTCTCTTTCTACAATTTATCGCCGACCTACAAAGCATTTGCTTTTGCCCTGACGGTCCATCAGATCTCAGCTACTATTGAGGTTGCTCTTGTTGATCCAACCTGAAAAACAACAATACAGAAGGATATAAATGCCCTTCAGCGTATCCATACATGGGATGTCGTTGATCTTCCTCAAGGTAAGAAAGCTATGAGTTGTCGAAAAATTTTTAGCGCAATGTTCAACTTTAATGGATCCTTTTAACGCAATAAAGCACGATTGATCGCCAAAGGATACTCACAGACCTATGAAGTTGGCTATGATGAAACATTTTCTCCAGTGGTCAAATTAAACACTATTCGGGTCACGTTGTCACTTGCGATGAATCTAGATTGGTCTTTATTCCAGCTAGATGCCAATAATGCATTCTTGAATGGAGAACTTACAGAAGAGGTATACATGAGTCTCCCTCTTGGTTTTGACTCTACTGCTACCAAAGAGCAAGTGTGCAGACTACGAAAGTCCCTCTATGGGCTAAAACCATCACCAAAGGCCTAGTTCGGAAGTTCACAAGGGTGATTGTGGGTCATTGTTTTGCTCGGGCTCAATCAAACCATACATTCTTCTTCTGTCATTCCTCCAATGGTCAGGTAGCTATATTTATTGTTTATGTTGACGATATTATTCTTACAGGTAACGATCTGTCAGCGCTGGAGTTTTTGAAAGACATTATTGTTAAGTATTATGAAATGAAGGACTTAAGATCTCTTCAGTACTTTTTAGGCATGAAAACGACTCGATCATCTTGGGGCATTTGCCTATCTCAGCGCAAATATGTGGTAGATCTCTTGACAAAAAACGATCTTCTTCTGTGCAGACCTGTGGTTGTCCTTATGTATCCCAATAAAGAATTATCCGACATTCTCACTGTTGTGTCTGTCAACAAGACTCACTACCAGCATGTTGTGGGGAAACTCATCTACCTCGCACATACTTGCCCCGACATATGCCACACAATTGTTATGGTGAGTCAATTCATACATGAACCCTATGAGCACCATCTTCATGTTGTCCATCAAATTCTTTACCATTTAAAAGGTACACCAGGCTAGAGGTTATTTTTTCTCTCGTCACACCTCTTGGTCTATTGTTGTTTTTACAGATGTTGATTGGGCCGGGTTCGTTCATGTTTGACATTCCACCTCAGGGTATTGCTTATTTGTACAAGAAAATATTGTCAAGTGGAAAAACTAAAAATAGTCAGTGGTTGCTCGGAGCAGTGCTGAAGCTGAATTCTGATACATATCCTTAGGGATCTGTGAAGCACTCTGGTTAAGCATCATGCTCAACAGACTTCGTATACCATCCTCCATCATGCTACAGTTATTTTGTGACAATAAGATCTCCATTAGTATTGCTCACAATCCAGTCCAGCATGATCATACCAAACATGCAGAGATTGACAGAGACTTCTTTTCACAATCCAGTCCAACATGATCATACCAAACATGTAGAGATTGACAGACACTTCTTAAACATCATGCTCAACAGACTTCGTATACCATCCTCCATCATGCTACAATTATTTTGTGATAATAAGATCTCCATTAGTATTGTTCACAATCCAGTCCAACATGATCATACCAAACATGTAGAGATTGACAGACACTTCTTAAAGAAAAGATTGAGCCAGGGGGAAAACTGTGTTCCTTTTGTGTCCTCTTGTTGTCAACTAATAGATATCCTCACGAAAAATCTTCCTCGTCCTTTGTTCAATGACTTCAAATA